ATATATAATTATATTGATATTGGGAAAGTCCCTCAAAACGCTGATTTGTGGCACAAAATATGTAAACTTTCAGTTTACAAGAACTCTCATACTATAGAAGTGGCAAAACTTTGACGGCCATTTTCTCGCTAATTTTACGTCTGAAAGCAGGCTACCCCTACCTCCTTCAATTGCAAATATTTCGACTTCTATTTAAGATAGATGGGTATTGTTTTCATAGCAAGCAAGGGAAATGAATAAGCTTTCAGATGTTACCAATAACTGCTCGTGCTTACAAAACAGGACGAGCGCCTGATTCCACCACATCCTGACACTGCCGGAGTGACAATTATAATAATATATTTAAAAAATTTAGATCGTCTTTTTAATAGGGTCTGTCAATTTGGTGATCGTGTATAAGGTAGCCTACTCAGCTGGCAGGCTACGAGTTGGGAAATTTAAATCCAGCAAAATTTATCTTACTGTTCAAAGCATCTGTGTTTTTTTTTATTTTCTATGTCAGATACAAATGAGAAGAAAGCATTGAAAAAAAAAAAAAACGATTCATAGAAAACGATTTTTTAGCACATACAACACTGAACTGCAAGATTATGTCATAAAGATTCAATGTTGGATTCACAGAAAATATCGTTTTAGTACACGCAACAATGAACTACAAGATCATATCATAACAATTCAATGTTGGGCAAGAGGCAGAAGGAAAACGAGTTACTGGCTACACAGATGAAAAGTACAATGAATTTAACTTATTAATGAAATGAACATTGTATCCGTTAGCAAGGCTGCAGGATTCGTCACATGGCATTAACTGAAAATATTGAGCTGTTAAATAGTGCGAATTATTTACATGACTAGAACAAGAAAGATAAGAACGTGTTTCATGATAATATTATTACACGACGTGTTGAAACATATGGTTATCTTTTCGTCACCCCTCTTCAACAATCCTTGATCTAGTGAATCTGCCAGAATATTTTTAATTTTGTACAACTGTCATCTCCGTTTGCTTTTAAAATTGATTTACAATCTTTACACCTTGACATAATTTGCTTGCAGGAAACAGATTTATCCATTACTTTTATAACAATGTAAACAATAACCAAATAAAAAGAAAGTGTGAGAGATGACGTGGTTTACTTTAACAGTTTCTTAAACATGGGATTTTCTGTTTTGTTTTGTTTGTTTGTTTGTTTGTTAGTTTGTTTGTTTGTTATTTAGCACGGCCTTCCCAATCGCGAGTGTCTCATGTATCACGGAATCACCACAAAATTAGAAGAATGTATTCACAAAAGGGTTGCTAAATTTCAAGTGATACGCAGTTTCACAATCCCAGTTTTACGAAGAAAAAGTTGGAATTTCACTTGGTTTGTGGAAAAGTGAATGTAAAATAGTGCCACATGTAACTGTAAAGATGCACGAAGGAAATGAACAGACGTACTCCCACAATTAATATGTATTTTTTCGTTTGTTGCTTCTGTTATTGATGAAGGCGACGTCGCAAGATGTAGTCAGAGTACTATTGGGATGACCCTTGTCTGTCAATAAATATGTACTCGAAGAGGTTATCCTTTCCATTGTACTGCTTTAGCTTTTAGACGTTGCAGGTTGACTTTTGAAAGTCGTTTTTAAGTTTGTTTGTTTTTTTCTTTAAAGTTTATATCAGAAAAGAAATGTCCTTTTCCAAATAATAAGTGATAAATACATAAATGCGTGTAGAAGAAAATCCTTAGTCTTTTTGAACCATGAATTTTGAGGTCTGCTACAACATAATATGTGTGTTTCGAAATCGATGTTTTTTAACATAATTAATTATTATAACAATAACATGAACAACGAAAACAAGCTCAGACTCCGGTAGGAACGGTTCGACTTTAGAGAGTCACTGGAGTTTGCCCAATTTTTTCATAACAATTGATGTGGGGCAGGCATGATTATAACAGCTTTTTCTTTTTGCTGAAAAAAATTAATTCAGTCATAAAGAACAACATGTACAAACACTATAATTATCTGCTTGTCTTTTTCATTTACAGTTTTGGGTATGTAAATAAAGAGCATAGTATTATCTTAAGTCGCGTACCGCTAAACTCCATAGGAGTATAAAAACATTATTGTGGAACTAATTCCCCGTAACCAGTCTCCCATTTAAGAATGCAGTCTATTGTTTTCAGAACTTTGGAGTGGCAAGTCACTTTTTAAGCGGAATAGGCTATGAATTTAAGCGAGGTTTGCCATTTTGAATTATTTTGCAATAGTTCTTCAAAAAAATTAACATCATCTTGGAATTCGCTTATTGAAGCTTTCCAAAAGGTAAAAAGCAAAGGTAGATTTAATGAGGGCAGTTTTTATCTTTTTGTCGCGCTATGTGTTGATTTTTTTGTTGTTGAAAGATATTGCTCTGAGATAATTCCGCCATTTTTACGATGATATCGTATGATCACAAAGACATGCTCTGACTTACTTGGATTGTTAGTGGCATATTATAATTATATTATAGACTGTCGCCCTCTATCATACACAACAGCCGTTGTCATGGCAACTCTCCAAATAACCCAGTGTTTGAAACCTCATAAAACAGATTGCCTTCACGTCTGTTTCTTCATATAAGGTTTGAATTTAAACAAAAAACAAAAAACAACAACAACAAACGCACAAATCTTGAGTAATAAATAATGTCAAAATATGTACAACAATTGCGCATGAACGGGTCCAAACAATGCATCGATCTCTTCTAATGATGGATGATGTGACCATATTATAGATGAATGCTGCAAAGATCAACAGTTTGTATAACAGGTTGCAACATTTTCACTTTTATATGGGAAAACTGTATACACCTGACAGAAACTATGGAATACGTAACAGAAATATTATCGGGTTTCTTTTAGCAACTTGAAAACGATATGAGGAAAAAAAAAAGATTACAATTTCATATTTGTACTGCATAAAGTTTTACAGGTGCTAATCTCAAATTATGGACATTCAAGTAGGCCTATGTGTTAGATAAAGACTATGTAGCCTAAACCGTGTGCGGATATCTCTAAAGTTTGTGTCAAAACCAGAATGATGTGAGCATTTAAAGACCCTCATTCCTTGAAACAATGTCTGTATCTGGCCTGGCCGCGGAATATTAATAATTAAAATTACTTGTACTCTCAGAGAACTTAAACAAATATTTTACTGGTTCGGATACTTTAAAACTATACCACAGAAGAAAAAAAACTGTTTACACCCACGTGCCTTCGATGTTGACAGAAACTTGCAAATAGTTGACACAGCCACCATTGCAGCTTGAAGCCATGTCAGCTCCCTCTCCTTTTGAGGGAGTTTTTCTTTCAACGATATAAAACAGCGGTTATCATAGAAGCACGGAAATTAATATACTGATTTTTAATTTAAAGATTGTTTCTTTGCTAGTTCTCCGACTTCTCTTCCACTTCTTCTTTTTCATATGCTGAACATGTAGGCCCTAAGATTTTTTTTTCTCTTTTCTTTTGCCGGTCTGTCTTGCTTTTTCCGGCACAAATTCAACGACCATTACTGTGTCAATTAAATGATACTTTTCTTCACTAAAACTGGACTAGTCTTGGTTTTTACATAATGACTTTGTAAATAAATAAATCTGAACTCGCCCGTGAAGCTCTTCAGTGGTGTGAATTCACTATTATTATTAAGCATGACTACCATCGAACTAACTCGGATAGAATAGAGCTCTTAGCAGAGGCATGCTCTGACTCATTCTGGGATTCAGTCCGTACTGTAAGTTTTCTTTTTATCCTTTCGTTCCACCGATAAGCCACAATATGATAAAAGGCGAGACAGATCCATATCGGTTAATTAAATGAAATTGATAATGGATTCGTTGCTGAATATCGTGTCAGTGCGCTACCTAAAATACAGCAAAAAATAAATTAAAAGAAAGTCAATGTTAAGTGTGTAGTGTACTGTTCACTCGAGAAAAGACATGCTGCCTTTATTTTAGAGATTTATATATCTAAAGTCGGCAAAAGTGATACACTATTTTACGAATCTATTAAATGCACCTGTAATATCAATTTGAATCGAATTATGCCCATGATGCCAGAAAGCACGGCCCATTGTGGCCATGTAGAGTACAACATCAGTATGTTATGTTTAAGTTGGAATACGCTAATGGTCTGAATCTTTGGAAGGTTTGTTTTGGAGGGTTTTTTCGTCCTATCTGGAATATTTCCTCTCACATTTTTGTTCTGGGGGAGGATCGGAGTGGGTTGGAAGGGGGGAGGGATGCTTTCTAATTTATCTAAATTGATTAAGCCTAAAGATATGGTGTAGTATTAACTCAATACCCTTCTCATCACCGTTATATTACATAAAAAGCAACCCCCCTCCCCTCTGATGCTAACGCCCGGCTCTAATTAGCGTATGAAAAAAGGTGGGTACCCATGAACATTCCCCAAAACAATTCAAGAGTATCACACGAGAAATTCGAACCAAGATCATCCACACCATATGCCTGGTAATACTACGACCCACATCGTTCATTGTACAGCGAAAAGCATCCACAACAACTTGCCGAAAGCAAACAGTATTCTGTCGCATACATCAGAGCTGAGCACAGAATGCAGGGTGATATGGCAAAGTAAAACAATACGTAAATCTAGTGCCTTTCAAAATTGGAATTTCATATTACTAGTGAAGTTAAGTTTGTTAAGTCGTTTCGTCAGTTTTGTTCTTTAGACAAGACTTGCTCAAAAGCGCTGCCTCAAGAATCATCTTTCTCAGAATGCACCGCCAGCGAACTGGCATAACATATAATTTCCCATAAGACTAATATAAGTGGCACCATATTGAACCTCTTAATAATCTTCCCGTATTGAAAGTCTTTCTGTCTCTTCGCTTTAGAGCTTATTGTCGAATGATTTCTGTTGTTTATTGTTGTTGCTGCTGTTGTTGCCGTTGTCGTCAACAAGGCTGATTATCACAAAGAGAGACATTTTGTAACAGTTGGATGCTTCATAAAACTGTAGTGACCAGTTGTTTCTTTAAACAACATAATAATAATATCATGCTTCAGTGATGTAGCTGGTTAGTATTGCTGTACTGTTGTAACTCTACGTAGCTGCGTCATAATATTCTAACTACTGGACGTACCGTTTTGTTAACAGAAGGACGAACTATTACCAGTGAGAGTTACAAAAAGTACGTATTTTACCAACATATAATGTGATTCTTTAAAATGTAGTAGCGGTACACCAAGCACATACACGTATTATGCACACAATGAAATACAAATACCATAATAAAACTTACAGTGTACAAAAATTTGGCACACCAAAAAATGCGATAATGGACAGTGATGTAGCAGAGAATACCCTTGAACTTTCCGGGATGTCGCCATGTTTTTGGACGTGTACGAAAGGCCACCTTCCGCTGTACAGCGCAGGCCATTATTAAACTCAGAGCATGGCCTTACCGTTATTGTAATAACGGTATGCAAAGAATTTCTCACGGTCAGAGTTTTTAGTCATCTGAATGTGGATAGTTGAAAAGTATGTTCGCCACACTATTTAGAGCTTTAAAAAAGCTTTGGCATTTGGTTGATCTCACTTTTTGAGGGCGGTATGAGCTGTCTTTGGGGGGACAGGGATGATCTCAAATGCTTCCTGAAACTTATGGGGAACAGCATGACATGTCCCTAATTCAAGAGAGCTCAGAAAAGCGCATACAGCTCCCTAGAATGATGTCCTGATTGCTCGAGCAACTCGACGAAGTGATGTCAGGGCACCGCATACCACTATAAACTGACACCATCATAGTTCATTCAAGAACTAAAGGTGACGTAAAGTCACAAACTACTCCCCATACCACGTGTACAGTTGAGGCCATCATGCCCATGGTTTGCAATGGTAGTAGGAAATTCCAATTTTCCGAACATTAAGATAACGCACAAGGCACCTGTTCAAGCAATGTGTCCTTAAAAAAATCTCAGGTAAATTTCTAATTGGAATTTCCTTCAGATCTTATTTTCAATGAACGTGAAGCCTTCATCTGTGGTCGAAAATACCCCATTGGTGGCTTCCAACTTCTACTCAATGGCTATAGCTGTACGATAATAATGGTCGCGAGCGTTCAACAGCCGAAAATAACGTATTCTCCAATGCTGTACTCGTTTTCAAACGTGTTCACCAAAAATGTGGGTCACTGCAAGAAAAGGACGCGCTGGTCCGGAACATGACTGACAATGTAAGTCTCTTATATTGCAGCTCGGCACTGAGACGGATCAGGTGGTCTGACAATGTCCGTTCCTTTTGGCATGTTGTCAGGTCGAATAGTTAGACATTTAATTATGTCCAAACTGTCAAAACGAACCGTTGAAAGGACCCTATCCCGGAAGTCATCTGTACTTCAGACGACGGCAGAAATAGGCTTCGCACTTTCTCTGTTTCAAAAAGATGAGACAGTTATCAACTCTCTATACGACGACCTCTGTTTCAGTACGTGACAGCTGGATATTGATATCTTTTTTATTGTTTTTCTTTGGCTGTCGCCGATAATCTTTGATGTCGTTCATATCTGGCGACGAGTCATCTGCGGATAAATAACGTCCCGGATTTTTATCGAATTTGTCCATATCCATGTCGTGAAGTTCTTCCGTGGGCACTGCCCTAGGCACTCCCCGCTTGTCGCCCCCAGAGAAGAGCGGGTTCCGATAGCGTCTCAGATTGTCCTGGTTCTCGTTGTTGGCCGCGGTCTGAGTGCTGGCCAAGTAGTCGTCGCGAAGGCGTCTGCGGCGTCGCTGTACTCGGGCATGCCACAGGAGCAGAAGGGCGATGCAAGCCACGCCCAAGATGGCGATGACAGAACACAGAACGGGGACCAGATAGTCTGGACCTGAGGAAAAAGTCGGAAAGCAAAGGTACGTGAGAAACTTGAATTATGAAATGACTTCTAATTTTTCTCCTTTTCCTTCCATCTATCCTTCTTGCCCCCCCT